TAATAATAATAATAATAATAATAATAATAATAATAATAATAATATATCCTGCAGGATACCTTTAACACCATCAAACAACAACATCTTCCCAAGGTCTTTGGGAAGGACTTGATAGGTGAATAAAAATGCCAAATCCAGTCTAAACATCTGGCTGATTGTGCGACCAACCATATTAATATATTAAACTTGTATGCCGCTCGACTGTCAACAATTCTGGTTGGCTCACAGCAATAAAATTTCAATCAAATCAATAAAACATAAAAGATAAAGGTAAAAGATAGCAAGTACCAATAGAAGAGAATATGTGTAGCTCAGGTTTGAACTGTGGAGTCCTTGGGGTTCTCTGAGCTTGGTTGTTTTCTTGCAAACATTTCATTATCCAGCTAGGTAACATCTTCAGTGCAAAGATAGCAAGTCTCACGCTCCCTCACCCAAAGGCCTGGGTGAAGAGTCAGGTCTTCACAGCATTTTAAAAACAACAGAGCTGGGGCTATCTGGATCTCGGGGGGGAACCTCATTCCAGAGGGCAGGCGCTGCTATAGAGAAGGCACGCTTCTGGGATCCCAATAGACGACATTGTTTAATTGAAGGAACCTGGAACACACAATCCTGCAGGATCGAATCGGCCAGGCAGATGCTATGGGAGACAAGCAGTCCCTCAAATAACCATGTCCTGTCCCATGTAGGACTTTATAGGTAACAACTAGCACCTTGAATTGTACCTGGAAGCAAACTGGCAACCACTGCAGCTCACAAAGCAGAGGTGTACATGAGCATACCGAGGCATGCCCATTACTGCTTACACCACCGCATTCTGGACCAGTTGAAGCTTCTGAGTGGTATTCAAGGACAGCCCCATGTAGACCGCATTGCAGTAGTCAAGGTGCGAGGAGACTAGGGAATGAATAACTGTCTGAAGGGCCCCCCGATCAAGGAATGTTCATGTGTCTCACAAAACACTGTATAAGAGAAAGTATATACAGTTGCATTTGTCCTCTTATAAGAATAATTTCTACTTCATACCTGCCTATATATATCAGTTCATCACTTTCAGCCAAATCTGAATGCTTAAACTTCTTTCTTTCATAGTATCATAAGATAGGTAGGCAGTAATGCACTAATATATGTCTGCATTTTTGTAGCACTACCACCACCTACACCTCCAGAATTCAGTGCTGCTTTCAGAAATGTGGTGAATGTTCTCAACTGTGATATCATGATGCTTATTCTTAGAACTGTCCTGCAAAGAGCACTAGAGCTGGAAAATCACTTGTGGACAGAAGCTATGATACAGATGGTATGTTTGTCAGCCCTGGCTTGTAAAATTTCTGGTTAGAGGGAGACCATGTTTTAGCAGTATCTCTATCTTAAATGCCTTTTGGGTTTTCCAGTATATATTTGTCATATTCATTTGTGTGCTCTACTTCAAATAATTCCAGGCTCCATAAACCTGTAAATATGTGGAGACCTGTATTTGCCTTAACATTTTATTTATTTCGAAACAATTCTTCTTGATATCTGCTTTATTATTATTATCTAAACCTGTGTTTCTGAACCTCGGCAACTTTAAGATGTGTGGACTTCAACTCCCAGAACTCTGGGAGAACACTTTGTTCATTCTTCCCCATTCCCAAGTCCAGGTCTACATTCTTTCAACTCTTATTGTGACAGGCTAGCTCTCGGTAAACATTTAATTGCTGTGTGTCTCAGCAACCAAATGCTGGCTGGTGTTTGTCTCCATCCTAGAAGTTGGTCATAGCTAACATTGGCTAGAACAGTTACATGGCTAATTAGAGAGTACTCCATTATTCTGAAGGATTAAATTTGCTACCTGTCTCTATGTAGGTTCTTCACCTCCTTGCTTTGGGTTTACTTGAAGAGAAACATCAGTTAGAGCAGATTCCAGAAGAAGAAGTGACCTTTGACTTCTATCATAAAGCTTCAAGTAAGTGTGCCACTTTAGAAAAAGAGAATCTTTATTTAGAAATAAAGTATTAATTCACTGATCCAGGAATCCATAACTAGAGTAACTGCAAAGTGCTTTTTAAATGCCAGCAGATGAGTATAACTAGGCACCACAGTGTATTTATGTATTGCGTGTGTGTGTGTGTGTGTGTGTGTATAATGTTATATTGTATTAAATATATATGATGAGTAATAATATGTAATATATATATACACACACACCCATTTATATAAATATAAATACACACACTATGTGTGTGTATACATACTGTACATACATACATACATACATGTATTACCCATCCCTAAACATTACAAAATTGAGCATTAGAAAGAGCAATCAACTGAACTCTGAGGCACAAGAGGTTCTTTGTAATACACAGAGACCCAGTGAATTTAAAGTAACAACAAAACTTTACTGGTTGCAAGATACATTTGTTCTTTCTCATACACACACACACGCTCATCCACACTTACCCACGTCCTTCCCAACTAGGCTGCCAGCACTAGCTAGAGGGACGGAAGCCACCAAGTCTGGATCCAAAGATGACTCAGAAGATGCAGACGGCTCAGAGTGGGTGGGCTTTGGGACCCCTTTTATCCCCAAAAGTCCTTA